TCCTTTTCCTTCCTCACTTCAGAATGATGCTCAGTCTTGGTGATCCTGTCTGCCTGCATCAGGTGGAAGTTGTGCACCACAGACCATCCTAAGGTTTGGCTTTCTGGGTTCACTCCATGTGCTGCAAAGTGATGGAGCTGAGTCTGCTTTAGATCAGGAAGAGTTAAAATCTCTTCCAGCCCTCATGTCATATAATCTGTGTGTAAAAAAATATGGTGCTGTTCTTGAATTACCAGCCCTTGCCCTCTGCATTCTAAGCTGTTTCTTATTTAAACACTGTTAATTGTTGTTGTTCTTTATGATCATATCGAAGGCCTCTGAAAATGTCAGCCCAGGCTGATATCACTGTGTCCTCAGTACATGCAGAGTGGAACAGCTTACAGCTTTTCGTGAACTTGTCTGTTTCTTTTGCATCGCTGTCTCTCTTTCAGGGAAGTGAGAAGTGAGACGTGACAACACGAAGTGGCTTTTCCCCAACATCACGCAAACTGCCTGTGACAGAGCTGGGAAACCTGACCCAGAGCATCCCAATCCCAGGCCAGGACTGGCAGCCCATCTCCCGGTGTTGAGAAAAGCCAGATCCCCGATCATCCCCAGCTTTCCTCCAGCTGCTGTGCTCTGCCAGCGGCCCCTGCCAGGCCGCACAGGGCCCGCCTGCATCTCCCCAGCGCCCCGGGGCTGCTCCCGTTCGGGGGCTGCTCCCGTTCGGGGGCTGCCCGAGGCCCGGCCCCGTCATCTGCTGGCCTGGCAGAACACGCACGACAACCAAAATGCCCCTTCACGTCCAGCAAGAGAAAAACCCCGTCACGTCATCAGAAACAGCTCTTCAGCTGAAGCAGCTAGGGATTTGAGCGCGGAAATCTGGCATGGAAATGCCTTTCATTACACTCGTGTCCCTGAGCATTCCCATGAAATACTGCTTTTGCTCAGCAGGCGGCTTGGGAAGGCTGCGGGTTGTGCTGCCCGGGGCCGTCCCCGCTGCGGAGCCTCGCCGGGCAGGGCGGGCCCAGCGCCGCCATCGCCGGGGCCGCGGCGCCATCTACGGGCGGCGGCGCGCGGGGCCGGCGTGAGGGGAGCGCGGCTGCGAGACTCCCCGGTGAGGCTGCGGAGCACGGCCACCTCCCTGGGAAACCCGTTCTAATCACCTCTTCTGGAAAGAAATTCCTCCTAATGTCCAGTCTGAACCTCCAGCACAGCTTAAGGCGATGTCCTCTCATCCTGTTCCTTCTTCCCTGAGAGCAGGGCCGGCCCCTGCCTGGCTACAACCTCCTGGCAGGGAGTTGTGCAGAGCCATAAGGTCCCCCCTGAGCCTCCTTTTCTCCAGGTTAAACACCCCAGCTCCCTCAGCTGCTCCTCACAGACCTTGTGCTGCTGCCCCTTCCCCAGTCCCCTCTCTGGGCTGGTTCCAGCACTTCAGCATCCTTGAATTGAGGGGCCCAGAACTGGGCACAGCGCTCAAGGTGTGGCCCCACCACTGCTGAGCACAGGGGGACAATCGTGCCCTGCTCCTGCTGGCCACACCATGGCTGACACAGGCCAGGTGCCACTGGCCTTCTTGGCCACCTGGGCATACCTGGGCACACCTGGGATCATGTTCAGCTGCTGTCAAAGAGCATCCCCAGCGCCTTTTTCTCGGGGCCGCTTTCCAGCCACTCTGTCCCCAGCCTGTAGTGCCTCAAGGGGGTAAGAACAGAACTTGGCACTTCACCTTGTTGAACCTCATACAGTTGGCCTCGGTCCATGGATCCATCCTGTCCAGATCCCTTTGCAGAGCCTTCCAGCCCTCCAGCAGATCAACAGGCCTGACCAGCTTGGTGTCATCCACGAGTTCATGAAGGGTAGACTCAGTTAGTTACAGGCCTTTCTGCTGGCCTCCAAACCTGGGAGGTGGCTGTGGCCTGCCCGGCTGGGAGCACCCAGGAGCACAGCTGATATAGATGGCTGGAGATGCAGCTGCTGCTTGGGTTAGCTCACCTCAGCCCCCATGTACCTGGCTGCAGAAAGCTCAGGGAGCTTATCAGGGGTCGCTCTTTTTGACTTAACCTGTCATCCTTTGCAAAATGCATGGTTAAAATTTTGGTACATAAAGTACATGGAGGATTGGGTAGAATCAGTATTGCACCCACCACAGCCAGTCAGGTTAAGCTCAGCACTATCAGTCTGAACCTTTCCCAACCTGCACCTTAAAAATCATCACATGGCTCTTAAACTTGACATTATTAATGCAGATACACTGGAGTTTTTATGTGCTGTGTGAGTCCTGGAGCCTTTTAGAGATACCTCAAAAACTCTAAAATAAAGTGAGATGCTCTGTGGCACTTGGGAGGCTCCAAACCAGCTGTGTCTAGGCCAGCCAGATGGGACCAGCTCTGGTTTGTGGTTAGTGACTGCTCACAGCATACAGGGTGGGGGGGACATTCTCAGCTCTGCTGAAACATTCAGGGAACATTGAGTTCACTGCAATGCAGTGCAGTAGAACTGCAACAGGAGAGAGGGACAAAATACAGGCACTTTTAGGAATACAACCCAAGTTAATTATGGCGGTTGCATTTTGCAGCCACAAAGAGGGAATGCAGGAGCAAAGGCAAAGCCCATTCTCTAGGCTGTTGGAAGCTCAGGAAGGTGTGGAGCTGCAAAGTCTTGCACAGCAAATCTAGTTCCCTAACTTGTTCTGGTGCAGAGAATTTCGGTACAAGAGGACTTGGGTGGGTGCATGATGTGCTGCTCAGCCTAGTAAATCTATCACATGGAACTGCTGACTGACAAAACAAGCAGTCAACATTGTGTGCTGTGGAGAAAAGCAGTGCATATTCTGACATTAGCTGATGGGTAGGAATGGCAGTTTTGTTCTCATTCCTTCCCCAGTTTAGAGGCTAAAAACCCACCACCCCTCAGCAATAAAAATAAAATGTGCACAAAGCAGGGATACTGTTTTACAAAACATACTGTGGTCAGACTAGGAGTTTAATACCCTGCAAACATGCAAGACTGTCTGCCTTCAGGAGGCAGAGCTAGCTGTGGTCATTTAGTGTCTTTGTCAAAGCAAACTTATTGATTGTACCCAACTGCTCTGAAGCAATTCATAAACAGGAAATACCAAAATGCAACCAGTAGCATTTTGCCCAGAGCAACATCTGTGCTCTAAGCAGCTTAGTCTAACAGTACAAATCTGTTGATAACACGTCAAATGGTAAATCTGGATCAGTGTTGCATATATCCAAGATTAAGCACTTCTGAGTCAAAGCCTTCAACTCCATTAGAAAGAAATAGGTCTTAATTTTAATCTTCATATAGTGGTGCTAGTGTGGAGTTACTTTGCTGATTTCACAGACCTTACATCACGCTTATTAAATGGTAACCGAGTTGCCCAAGGTATGTCAGCCTGAGCTGTCTGCACTCCAACTCAATGAGAAGTGTTGAATAAAGGCTAGTAAACACATCAAGACAAAATAATTACACTAAATATGAATTTTATTGCTATGGTTATTTTGCTATAAATTAATAATGGTAATGAGGACATACAGTAAAAGCTGCAGTAAAGACAGGGAGTGCACAAGAACATAAAAGTTCTGAAGGGGTAATTTGTTGCATGCTACCCTCCATGACTTACACAGTCTTATGCTGAGGAGGAAAAGCACAAACTTCTGAGGAACATGGGTGTGAATTTTCTCCTCTACTCCACTTGTGTAGCTGGTTCCATCACCTACTGATTCTTCACTGAAGAACAAACCAAAGGAAGCCAGTGTTGGATGACATGCAAGGTAGCTCCATCTAGACACTGCTCAGAATGTGTTTGGGCACTGGGGGAGATGTCTTTGCTGGAAGTCAGTGCAGCTGCTCTGTACAGAAACACTGCCCACCCCCTCCTCCCCAGTCCATTAGCTTTACTCACTCACTAGAAGAGACTAGCCCTTCCTCAAATTCACACAAAAGAAGCCAACAGCTATGTTTCCACATGTAACTAAGAATGTGGGAGGGGGTCCTGGCTCACCTCTTTCATGTGGTCAGACTTACCAGGAGGCTGAGCATTCCCACCCCGCTATCAGGCAGCCTGGCTCTGTCCAGCTGTCCATAACTGCAAGACCAAAAGTAACAAATCCCAGAAGAACATGTAGACTCATAACCTCCATCAGCACCGACACTGAACAGACTGGCACTGCTGTACAACAGATTTATCCTTACTTGACAGTGTACACTGCACAAAAACAGTGGCACTGTGGTACCTGGGAACCTCCCATAGCTTTAGGGGGCTTAAGTATTGGGCCCACAGCAGGAATGTGTGCTTGAGCACTATGCAAATATAACTGGAATTGTAGTAATGAATAGCAGCATTCAGAAACAAACTATCATTTCAATCTGCTTTGAAAATCGTCTTGCCACACCTGCTGCCTCTTCCCATCACGATGGTATCACTGGTCTGCAGAACCTGGCTGACAGTCCCTCCAAGCCCCAAATCCCATCTCCCTCAGCTCACAGCAGCATCCACACCAACTGCAGATACATGAAGTGCAGAGCTGGGCAGAGAAAGGCTATTGAGTCATGACTGTGTATCCAGCCACACGTTACTCTGCCCTGCTCCTGAGCAACAGGAGACAGGAATATCTTCAGGAAGCAAGTCTGAGCTTCAACCACCAGGGACTTCAGGTGGTAATCCCCATGCTGCTGCTTTATGTACCAGGATGTTGCTACTTCACTCTCTGCAGTGAGATCAGAAAGGCTACAGGCGCCTGCAGGGAGATAACTGTGCTCTTGATTTCATGCTCTAGCACAGGTTTGTACACTTGATTTCTGGCTTCTAAATTCCTGTGCTTTTGAGATAGAAAAATAGTTTGTGATTTTTGTATAAAAGCAGCCCATTCTTTCCAAGCCAAAACTAGAGTCGTTGGCTTCAATTTGTAGTGTGTTTTTCCATTGAGAAGTGTAAGGTTATTTTCGTAATGGAGAATTACTTCAACTTGAACTTTTAAAAAGATAATTTCTTTTGAATTTCAACCCAGGAATGTTTTGCAATCAACAATCTTTATTTTATATACTTCACTTGAAGAAACCAGGAACCTAGACAGAGTTATCTCCTGAAAACACAAAAGACATGTTCCCCTGCTGAGACTAACAGTTCTGAAAAAAAAGTCCAAACCAAAACAAAAAAACCCAGCTGATTCACTTTGTGTTATCCTTTCCCAATCATTAGGAAATTTAAAAAAACCATATAATGCCCAATTGTTTTATTCTCCCCTAATCCTTACAAGAATCACAGAGGAAGGAGATGGAGGTGTTCTGCAGAACTTGCTATTGCAAAGCACAAATGGAAGAGCAGCATAGACCTGTAATCAAATTCACCTCTTAAAGGGCTTTTTAAAAGGGCAGACATGTTTGTTCACTCACATTCCATCCCCTTCTGATCTCAAGGCTACCAGGTCTCAAAGAGAGCTTCAGTGGTGTACTGCAACCTCCTTTGGTTTGGACTAGCAATAGGAAACTTTCACTTTAGTCCTCTTTTTGCACTTCCAGAAAGTCCTTTGGGTACATCTGAGCGGCAGAACACGTGCAGCTTGTGTTAAACTGTGAAAGGACAAGCATGCACATTGGTGTACAGCTCAGAGCCAGCCTCCTGAAAGCAGTTTACCTTCCCTGGATTAGGCCACTCTTAGTAAAGCAGCCACATCTGTCTGTTTACGTCCAGTGATTCCATTTGGTTTAGTTAGTCCTACGGCTCATGAAAGCCTACTGCTTCCCCTGGCTGCTACACAAACTCTTGTCCAGGACCTCTATTGCCCAAGTAAGTAGGACAGAGCTAAGAGAGTTTTAGGATAAAATGGAGAAGAGATTGGGACTTCAGCTAAATTTATACGGGTGCAAGTTCTCATCTATTTTCATCTTTCCTGACATGAAACCTTGTGAACCATAGGGAAATTAACCTTCTAAATGGAAGCATAAGTAAGACCTAACATTAAAACAGTATGCAAATACAGGAAGCTAAAAGTGGAAGTATAAAAATAAGTCCTCTTACTATAAGAACTCAACTTAGGCACCCTGCCTTATTTACCTGAACAAGAAAGCCCATGCATTTCTTGAGAGCTTTCCTTCCCTGCCAAGCACAGCTCAGCATGGATTAGAACAAGCCATGTAACACACAGAACAGCTGCACTCCCGGGGACAGGCCACAGCACACTGAGTAGAGAAACCACACATACAAGCAAAGGCAGGCAGCTTCCTTGGAGTGTTTTTCTCAACAAGTCATGGAGGGAAGAGGAAACCTGCTGAATCTGAGGAGAACATTCCCAGGCTCAGCTGTGCTCAAATTCAGTTGCAAATAAGAAACCTGGTTCAAGAAACCTTGGTGGCTAAGAGGCAGGCCTCCTATCCTAGCCCTGGCAAGGCAGCTGCTATCAAAGTGCCCGTGTGCAAGGTCTACTTGTGCTGCTTGTCTCTCCCCTCCTGACAGAGGGGCTGGCAGGCCCAGCAGAGCAAGGGCAGTTCAAGCTCCTGTTTCAAGTTCTCCTGCAGCCTCTGCAGAGCCATGGCAGTAATGAGCACAGACACTGGACAATGGCTGGTTCCTAACAATGCAGCTGGTGCAGTGTCTGAGGTTGCTGTTCTGCAAACACCTGCAAAGCTAAAGACCTTGTACTTCCATCTGTCCAGAGAAGAGTCATCCAGGATAAAGAGGGAGCTAGAACAACAAACACTGCTCTTCCTTGCCACCAGTCATTCACATTTCTGGGAGAATAAAAGAATTGAGGAGTGCTGCCAGTTCTTAGTGGTTTGCTCATACATTCTCAGAGACAACTTCACCTGGATGGTGTGAGAGGCAGGTACAGGGCTCCACCTAAGAAAACACATTACCATCTGCATGCAAGTCTGAAAACAAAAAAAAACAAAAACAAAAAACCTCAAGCATGGCAGACTGTTTAATGCCAAGGAATCTCTGCTGAACTCTATGTGTTTCCAGGGAATGTTTAAAAGTCAGTAGTATGTGTCTACTAATGCAGGAGTCCTGTTAATCCCTTATTTGAACTAGATCTTACACCCCTCCCCCAATAAAGCAGGTGACTGCTACCACTGGTGCTCATATTGATCCTTGTAACTCTGAACATCAGACCAGAATTCAAGAGCAGCACATGCCATTTCCAACCACTTAACTAAATGGTGCCTTTAAACTCTCATTAAGACAGTTAAAAATCAGTTATTAAGATGTCACTACTGAAAAATAACTACTGCATTTTTCGAAGTTTAACAGTAAACAACATTGCCAATATATTATTGCACACAATAAAAGGTTTTGGAACTACAGAGATAAGGAAAGGGTAATCTAGAAGACCCAAAATAATGATCCCAGAGCCATTCCAGTTGCTGCTCCAGCCAGCATGCCCAGTGCAAGATCTCCATCGCTGTCACGGTAACGCTCTCGAATGATGACGTGGTTTGCAGGGGGCTGGCCATAAGGTCCTAGGAAGTAAGAGGTAGTTGGGAGGAGAGCAAAAGAAATGTGTATCTTAATACCATACACTTTAATTTCTAAACAGCCCATTTTTTACCTCCTTCAAGTGAATACTAATATTTTGTCAGCTGCACAGGTGGAATACATTTCTGCTTCGGATTCAGCCTCCACATTAATTAAATCCAAGGGCCTAGTAACACTTCTAGCCTTGTAACAGCTTAATATCTGTGAGGAAAACTTATCACAAATGTAAAAGGGAACATTGTTCTGCAAAGAACCTATGAATTACTTGTATTCACTTTGTGGATTTAATGTAAAAAATGGGTCTAAAAATTGATTCAGCCTTGAAGTTAAGGAAAACAGTTTAGTTCTTCCCCTTACCTCTGAAAAAACCTTTGGCAGGTCTCAAGCCAGTAATTTGTCTGAAACTGTGCCTCAATTATTTACATTTACTGCCTGCTGCAATTCAGCAGCCTTCACATTCTGGACTGATCTGCAGGGTGGTGACAGCTGCTACATTTCTGTTCAGATGAAAACTGGCCAGTATTAAGAAATTAACCTTGGACTCAAGAAGCCATCGACTGACCCTTGCTCTGTAACAGACTTGTACAAGCTTCACCTGTCATGTTTTCTGATTTAGCTCCCAGCTGCAAAGCAAACATAATGGTATTGGTTTCCCTTCCAGACATTTCAGGGAGATTTAATATTCTTGAAAATCCCACAATGGTGTTTTGTAAGAGATTCTTAAGTAATCCAACTAAATATAATTAGAAAAGGCTTTCATCGACTGTCAACAATGCATGACTCTCCCCCCTGAGAAGGATTATATCACTGCAGAGAAGGAGCAATGCTACAGAAAGCACAGGGGTTAAGTGAGATGCTGTGGGGAATCTGAACCCTACAGTTTCATTGCAGTGACCCTGGTGAAGGACACCATTTGGTAACTATGCCCAACCAGTAATCAGTATGTTAACACACTGGACTTGCAAACTGGTCAGGGGAGATACTGTTTGATGCTGCATTGCTATCACATGTGTTTGCCTTGATTTTCAAGGCCTGCTGGAAGATTTTAAAAACAGTTCTTGGGTTTTTAAGAAGCTACGGCTTTTCAGAACCAACAGAACACATGTTCCTCTGTGTCTAAATATATATCATCTGTATCTTAGGATTGCAGTAACTTAGATGAAGAAAACTTCAAAAGCTTTAAAGGATGATGCACCTCCCTTATAACAAAAAATGGAAAAGGCAAGTGAAATAACCTTTTTTTTGTTGGTTTTTTTTTTAAGCCAAAAAACAAAATCTCCCTCAAAACTGAAATAAAAAATTCTCAGTAGAGATTCTTGTTTGCAGAGTCAGATCATAAACAATTAGTTTTCTCTTTTGTATTACCCATAAAATTCTAAAGCCCCAGTTCTGAAGGACGGGGGCTCTATGCAGAACTAACCCTAAATTAAGGTGACTGATTAAAAGCACACCCTACAGTTTTACTCTTTGCTTCCTGTTTTTGAGATTGAAAGCTAACAAACCTGAACAGAGCAACAGAAGATTTCATGTGGCTGAAATGCTGTTTTACAGCAATTCCAGCACACAGGGAAGGAACCAGCTACAACCTTGTTCTGGGAGCAGATTTACTTTTGAAACTTGCATTTAAATAATTAAACTAGGTATCAGAGCAACAAATGAATGAAAATCTCCATCAGTGCCTAATATGGAGTACTGAATCACAAAATCACATCTTCTTCTGGCTCTTATACCTTTCCTTAGAAAACATGCTGCAGTTAGAGCTCTGTATGCTTCAGAAGGAGTGTATAAAGCAATGTAACTATGCTGAGACCACGTGGGCAAGGTTAAATCCCTTAATACCAATTTCACTGCACTCCCTTTGTTGTGAAAGGGTGGACTTGGTTCCAGTTACAGGTCAGGTTTCTTTCTTTGTGTGCAGGAGTGGTAGCTGGTAAAGGATGGCGATGAATAGAGCTAAAGCCAGAAAGATTGACTGAAATAGCTTCAGTGAGAAGGTGGAGGATGTGGCTGATTACCTTGGTATGGATACTGGTAAGGAAAAGCATAAGCTTGTCCATTGGAGGCATAGAAGATCTGAGGGCCCACTGGGGGATACGCACCATTGTACTGATCGTAGCCATAGCCATAAACCTGGTGAAATGAAAAATGTCTGTTACACAAGTATGCTTTACTATGGAACCAATTAAGTACACTGTTCAACTTGCCTTCATTTCCAATGTAATTGAAGTTCCACTCAAATATCCAGGCTGTCCTGCTATAGCCAATCTACTCCCTGGAATGGATTCAGAACAGCTGCTTGAAAAAATAAGCACTCCTAAGCAGAATTCACTCTCTTCCTTTCCTGGATAGGCAACAGCAGAAGCAGAGCCTGGATCATCAGGCAGAGGCACAGCAGCCCTGCCAGCTTCTCCTCTCTGCCAACAACAGCTCTCTGGGGAGCTCAGAAGTAGCAGGAAGGCAGCAGCCAATCCCTCCAAACCTCCTACCAACCCTCCGAGAGGGTACGCTGCAAGCAAATGTCAGATTAAAGACAAATGCTCTAGAACTCTATGTTTTAGAAGTAATCTTTTTCCCCAAAAGAGGAGGCTGCACAGAAAAAGCTTCCAGAACCACAACTCATTCTTAACAAGAGTGAGAGGCTGGAACAGATAGTGCAACAAGCAACAGTGCTCCAAACTATCCCCTCACATATTACTACACATCACTAAGCACATAGAGAAATCCCCAACACATCCTGGTTTGGTCCCAAAGCTGCTCCTTCACTGCTAAAGAACTGTGTACAAGAACTAGAGTTACTGGGCTGCTGTGACATCTTGCTACAACAAAATCCTTATGTGTTAAAAGTGGCAGCTCCAGCCATTACACCCTATTTCTAAAACTCCTGATCTTACACCTTTCCAGGGCTTGCACAACATGAAAGTGTAGTTACACCTCCTTATGTTAGAAGCTGCACAACCAATGTATTTGAAGATCAGCCAAATAAATTCTGCCCTGTCTCCCAGAAGCTTTATTTTCCAAGTTCACTGAGCAGCCACCCCTTTATACACCTCCCAACCAAATGTGCCTCATCCCTTTCGAAGAAAATCCATCTCAAATAAGAGCAACAGTAGACTGACAGTTCCTTACTCTCTGCTGCTGTAAAAGCTTTAAAGCTGGGTGTAAGAGTACAATGCAGCACTTTGTGAATGCTTGCAGGAGGCTGCTCCTGCTGCCTTGCTCATGTTAATGCTTCCTGACTGCAACCCTTACCTCAGGTGATGGTGTGGCATAAGCTGTGTAGGGAGGAGGGGCTGAGGAAATGGCTGTCTCATCATACATCACATCAGATCCCACGTAGCCCTAAACACCATGGATAAAGAGCAGTTAACACCTGTTCCTACAGAGAGACAGTTACAGCAGTCTAAGGATTAAAACATTATGACCCCAAAGAAAAAGTAACCACACTTCCTGTTAAGAAAGCAGTGAGTACCTTTTAAAGGCTGCAAAAATAAAGTATCTGGAGAGGAGACCTGGGAGAATACAAATTCCTGACCCACCACAGAAAGGAGCCATAAATTTTTTCCCTGGATGTGCGCCACAGACATGCATATGTGTACATGCAAGCACACTGACTCCTTCCACCATTCCAGAGCCTCAGATTTAGAAATTACCCTCCTGTTCATTTCCTATCTTCAGATAAAGAAATCTTGACAACTAAGCTGGTTGCTTCCTGGCACCCTAGAGTAGTATCAGCAAGTTCTGCAGAAGCAGGTAAAGGAAACAAATACAGTAGCCAAAAGTGGTACCTGAGGGAAAGGTGGTAACACTTGAGTCCATTTAGAGTAATTTCTCAAAGACAATTAAGATTTCTTACACTAGCCTTGTATTCTTGCTCCTAATATCCAAAATCTACAGTGATGCTCTTGCTCCCTTCTCCAAGGCAAAATCCAGCTCCTAGTTTTTAATTCACAAGAGAATATTTTAATAAATCAACAGCAGATGTTGTATTATCTCTTGGACTGATGAAATCATGGCATTTGAGGACATAATATGGTTAAATCCCAAATCAAACTCATGGTGAAGATTCTAAGGATTGCTTGAAATACTGTTAAAATACTTTATGAAGTGGTATTTCCATCACCGGAGAAATCTGCTCACAGCAGTAAATGTCTTCTGCCCTGCCATAGGGATCTTTGTACAAGCGATGCACAAGCCTGCAAACACCTGTAAATGATACAGTTCTCAAAGCTAAGGTGATCACCCAGCTATTCCAGTCAAATAAGGAGGCACTGCTGGATGCTTGGAATTTTTGAAAACTTTGTCACGCACCTCCAGACCCAAACCCATTTACCCAGTTAGTCCACATCCTTGCTGGATACCTTAATAGCTTTGGAAAATGTTAACTTATGTATCTACTTGTGTAGAGGGCTACCTGCTCTACTTTGAGTAGCAGGGCTCCTCCTTGGCTGTCCAAGGTCAGCATTGCCACATTCTGAGCCATCTATCAAGGCTGGCAGCAGTGTCAGAGGCATGAAAACAGCAGTTCCCATTTCCTGAAACCAGGAGTCACCATTTCACACATAAGAGATATACAGCCCCTAAAACTAGAGCTGACAGACCATGAGTGCTGTGTCCTCTGCATGAGGCCAAATCCTTCACTTCTCATTTAAGGCCACAGGCAGTGTAGCATGGCTGCAGTCAGAGGCAATCGTGTCTGGGGTAGTTTTGCCATGTTTTTGCTTTGGGCGTCTAAAAATCTAAGTTATATCATCTGACAGATGCCCCAGTACAGTGGCAATGTTAGTGTGACCCATCAGAAATTGAGATAAACTTCTACAAAACACAGCATTTCCCCTGAAACAGAAACACCTCAGGTTGGTTCAGCCTAGTCATCCAAGGAAAGCTAGTGCTGCAGAGTACTCTGGAAGGCAGTCTAAAGGAAAAACAAATTAGCAATACCCACAAGTGAACAGATGTGGCTGCCCAAAGATACAGCTCTCCAGAAGACTCACAAAGAGACTTCTATGATTCCTGATTCTCTTCACAGTCAGCATGGCAATGCAGAGGCAATACACCCCTCCTCAGCATGCCTGCATTCCCCTCTAAGCATCTCACTCTTCCCCATGTCTCTGCCAAGAAGCATCCCACGGTAGGGTGGATGTACATTAACAAACAGCTGCTGTGTAGTAAGCTTTCTTTAGCACTGCACCCACCTGGGAGGCAACAAACACTAGGAGTGAAAAGTTCATTTTTGCTGGTTGCAGAAGATTTGCTTGTTGCCCACAGCCTCAGTGCCCACAGACCAGCTTTCCAAACATTCACTTCTGCCCAGAGAAATAATTCCTTAAAATCATTATTTTCCACACAGCATGTATTTGCCTGGACTTGGCTGCAAGGATGTGTTTGTGATCCAGAAAATCATTCTTCTCCCCACCCACAAGCTTTACTATCATGCTCATGCCCCTGCTTTTCTCTAGCAGAGAAGATGGAACATGATTTCAGAACTAAACTGCTGGACCACACATAACACTGATGTGCTGCTTCTCTATCAGAATAAAGTCTAGGTAGGACACTCACTGTGTTTGTCCTGGCATCCTGAAGAGCAATTTTCCATGCCCTGCAAAAAAAACACCCCTTGGTTAGTGGAACACTGATAAAAATCAAGGTCACCTTTTTCTTTCAAGTCAATGAAACAAAGTTAGCAACTAGAGGTACTACAGGAGCAGAGTTTAAGATACTGCACGTTCCAATGGCTAAAGATACACTCAAATGCACAGAAGTGTTACACCAAGACTGAGAAGTAACTACTTTCTTTGTAGGAACTACATTTCTGAGAAAGAATGAGGAGGAACAAGAGGAGGAATGGATGCATTTGGAGGCCCTCACTGCAAGCACACTAGGTAGGAAATATGAAAACATGCTTAGGATGAGGTAATAGGAAGAGATGCACCTCAGCAGAACAGTTCATCTGTGCTGATGAGAGCACAGATTTGCTGCTATTGCAGCTCCCTGGAGGTAGATACACCTCACCCAGCTCCTCCCCTGCCACGGGGCTGGGAGCATGCTCCATGGACCACACCTCTGGCAAAGAGTGATCACAGAAGTTATCTAACTCTACACAGCCCAGCTCAGCTGAGAGTTCACACTAATGGAATATTCCCCCTATCGCTACTGGGATGTCCTTGGGCTAATGCCACATCATGTGCTCTTGAAGAATGGCAAAAGTTGAAAAAAATCTATTTAAAAGTCTTGCATTAATCATATTAATCAGATTCTTCTACTCCTCATCCTTCAGTGTTTTCAGTGACTTAACTTGCGGATAGTTTGCATGAGCTAGACAAATTCTAGGAGAGCTACTGGGTTTTTTGTCACTGAAAACCTGTTTTCATTTGCTTGAAAACTTTCTTAAAACATATCTCTGAAAGTCAGAAGGGAGGAAAATAACTAGAGAGAGAGATGAAGAGGGATAAAAGAGGGAGAAGCAGCAAAACCATTATTCTCTTGCTGTCTTACAGGCAGTCATCTGCACTCTCTGCACAGAGGTTGACTGTCTTCCCATCACGGCAAACAATCTGCAGCAAACAGTCTCTCTGCTTCCCCTCTGGAGGCTGGAAATCTGAGTGAGAAAAACAGAGATGAGTTATGAAGTATAAACAGCATTACACGATCACATGTACAAGAAGGGAGTCAGTTTATGCAAGTCTGGACAAAATAAACTATGGCCAGTTGTAGCTGCCTTCCATGGCATCAAAACAAGTCCCAGAAGGAAATAACCTGTTCTTACTCTTTAGAGTGTCCTGAAAGCAGCTCTCAACACCTTTCCTATGAAATGCAAGTGCCTCACAGCAGAACTTTTCCATATCCATATCATAATCCATATTTAGCAATAGATGTTCTCCAACACTTGTGTCCTTCCCTTTTGTCAGCACCAAGTGGAGAACTAACAAATGCTAGAAATGAAATCAGGAAAAGCATTTGCTGAGGTTTCCCATTTCTAACCCTGCCTCTCTGTCCAGCCAGCACTGTGGTTCCACCAGGAACGCTCTGTATCAGACACAGTCCTGCTGGGAAACATCCCATCCTCTTGCATGCATGGGACACTCTCCTCACTGAGTTTTAACAGGAAGTATCAAACCCTAACCCAGCCACCCTGACACCACACCCTGGGCATCTCTAAAGCAATTTAGGAGTTGGTGGGGTTGAGTTTTTTGGAAGGTGGGGGCATTCAGGAACAGTGAAGTTGCACACATTTTGGACATGTTTACATCTGCAGTAGTGCTGTATGTGGTATGCTGGGTAGGCACTGAAGCTGTAAAGAATCTCTGGATATACAAATCCTGAAGATTTCATTATTTACCTCGACATTCATTCCCCACTCTGAGGTTGATGCAGTGGATTCTCATGTGGATTTTATCTTCTAGATCATGGCGATTTTGATCATCATAGAATATTAAGCGGCCATCAGACCACAGATCAAACCAGTTCTTCTTCCAACGCCGTAAAATAGTACCTTAAAAATCAGACAGTCACTTTAGAGGGCACATATTGGGAAATATTTCTGTCCTAAAGTTAATAAAAAATAAACCAAGAAATCCTTCACAGTTGCCCCAGACAACATTCCAAAGTGCCAAGCAAAATCCTGTATGACATCATCCCCGCTTGGGAACATTAGAGAATTGGGTGCCATATTTTATCTAGGATTCAAAGCAAAACTGGTTTTATTTTAAGTGCATGATGCTTTAGTTCTAACTTACTGCAGGAACAAGCAGATGGCATGATTAATTGAAAGACACTAAGCTGAGGTGTCAGGTAAAATTTCCAAGTCCCCACTTATAGAGCACTAATTATGGAGCAGCATCTGAAGCTGAATGCCAGTCAGACATCTCAGATATGTTTATGTCCTCTTTCCCACTGGAGTACCCAAAGGTCACATGGGAATGCTGTCATGACACGTCATTATGCGATGTGTCCTAACAGTAAAAAGGAAAAAACCCAACAAAAACAACCCACACAACTAGAGGCTTGTTTTAAGAAAATCTGGGAATTACTGAACTGCTCTGATGTTTTCTGAAGAAATCCCTGAAGTGAACAGAGAGAGAAGGAAGAGAAAGACCCATGACTTACTTTGCCGGAGCAGCCATCCACTCTTCACAAATGCCATCGTTGCTTAATCTAGTGGGCAGAAGAGGAAGAGGGAAGAAAAGCAATTTTCAGTATTTCACAATAATACATTAGAAAGAGGGATCTCAGTACCATCTTACAGCTGCATGTACCCAGCTCACGTTGCAGACGCAGTAGATCTCAGCTGAAGATACTCAGTAAGCACAACCAGTGTTGCAGGATGTAACACACATGCAAGTGCTGTGATCCAGCGTGACTGTCAGAGAGCACCTTGATGTTTAAGTGGCAAACAAAAGCCTAGAGCTACTGCTCTTAGAAAATGGGGAAGAGACAGACTGGAGTGACTCCTTCCTGACTCAGCACCAGTTCCTTCCAAAGTTCTCCTCTCTGCATACGTGTACTTCCTGTATTCTGCAGTCTCAAGTTACCAAGCACCCTCACTTCTACCTGCCTCTTTTTCTGTATTTCCTCTTGTGTGTTTTTCATTCACTGGCTCAAAGTCCAGTCAAAACAAAAGCTGAAACAGTTTAAACAGGAAGGAGAAAGCTGTTTTTATGTTTGCATTTCTTTCAAATCATCACTAACTCACTCCAAGAAGAATTAAAGTAAGTAAAAGATAAGCCCATAAAAATTCTCAGTTCTCCTCAGCTTTTAAATGAAGCTTGAAATAGCATGGCAAGGACTCTGTGTTAAATTCAAGTTATCACACATGACATTAAGTACTCGGCCACCGCATTCTGGTTTATGAGCATCCTTAAAAAAGAGATCAAGCATGGGATATACTGGAAAATGAGGTTTTATTTTATAGCTTAATGGTGTTCTGATTATTGTTTTAAATGAGATTATAAAAACTCAACTATCTGGGTGCAATTGAACTAGAAAAGCAAGAACAGAAGCATTTTAAGCCTTGCCTGAGAAGAAGGCTTTTTAGAAATTATTTGTGGGGCCTGTAAACCAGTATGAGAGACAGATACTGAAACCTAACAAATAACATTCCACTGGTAGCAGCATAAAGGGCGAGCCATGAGGATGTGAAAGGTGGCATAGCAGATTTGATAGAACTCCTCCCAGCAGAATGTGTTTAAAGCTGAGGAGAAGGGAGAAAAAGAAGTGTTTTGTAATCCAGTAAAATATAAAGTTAGTAAGCATCCATCCATTTCCTGATGGATATTGTAGCTGTGTCCTCTTCAGAGTAATGGGCAAATACTGTAGCACAAGATTATTACCATCAGGATTTCATATTTAAGGAATCCTACACAGGCTTGGATATGATGGTGAGAACCACCTGCAGGTAAAGTCTGAACTCCAGGAAAAACCTCTTATTCTTGACTTTTGCACCAGCTTGCTGGGAAAAGATTCTGCTGAGAGCCCACAGAAAGGGAATGTCAGACTCCTGTCCTGCTTTAATCATGGTCACCTGGACCTGCTCTGGGGTCTGAGCATGCTCTTGTCACCTCTCTGCAGAGAGCGAGCTCCAGAAATAGAGGCCAATTCATTCTTCCAAAGTACCAAAGTAGCACAAAGGACCTGAGCCTCATTCTGCCACCACCCCAGTACAGGCTTCTCTCCCCTTGCTTCTCCTTTACAAGGAAAATGTCTACTTGTTCCTCATTTTCACAGGAACAGGTGTCTCTAATTGTGTTTCCATGTCTTCCAGTTTGCCCAATAAGGTCAAATCACTATTTCTGGAGGCTGTTTCATAGTCTACAAGCCAAAAAAGAATTTGCATGAACTTCAGTTCTGCTCTAAGTGTTAGACTAGGCCATGCAATGTTGTTGCTACCTTTAAACCTACTCTGTTACACAATACCATAATTAGATCTAACTTAAATACAAAAAAGGGAAGAACCAAAGAAGAAAACCTCTGCCTTGACAAACTGAGCTTTGCCTGTGATTACAGAATGGCTCACAAAGGCTCACATTCAGAAGGCCTCAAAGCTGTCTAAAGATACAAGAGGGAACACAGCTTCAGCAGCTGTACAGCACCTTGCATGCAACCTCAGGGGCAACAACTACCCTTTCCCAATTCAGAGTTTAAGTGCCCAAAACTTCAGCTCTGGAGAGAGAGCAAGGAATCACACAGAACAATCTGTCAGCACTTAAAGTAGGAGGTGCAAAAACAATTAGATATTCTTCCCTGTCCTTTTTAAGCACAAGGGCTCCTTTGAAGTCCTATACAGTATTCACAGTCCACCCACACGATGTTTAAAAGCATATTTGCAGAGCTAGAACATAGCCTAGCAAGATCAGCTGAATCTGAATAGTATTTGCTTGTTAAACTAGCCCAATGCCACCAACATGAAAAACAGTTTTTAACCAAAGATAAATTAATTTATAGCGAATATGAAATAGAAGTATTTTGGTGACTGAAATCTAAGAGTAGTAGCACTCTCTAAACTCACTACTTACAGAGTAGCACCCTCTAAACTGAACTCGAGTTAAGAGCAGATGTAGCAAAGGGGTGAAACTATTCCTTTCTGCTCCCTAGAACAGCAGTTTTCTGCACGGAATACAATGAGGAATATCATAATATTCTCTTGAAAAAACACACTTTAGAACAAATCAAGTATTTCTCCCTGCAGCTTGTAATCACTGGAGCAATTCTGATGACTGCAGTTGAGCTAGCGGTGGGCCCGACCCCGCAATCCGTGTATCTGGAGGGGGCTGAGACAGCAGACGCAGCTATGGACCGAGCCCGCGGTGAGCAGCAGTGCCCGGACACTCCCGGGTTCTTTACTCTCAGTACGTTGGGTAGAGTACAGGAAGCTCAGCGATCAAACGTAACCCTACCCGCCCCCTCCCGCTTTCAACAGCGCAAGTTTTCTATTTCTGGATCTCCCTGGCTCCGGCCCTGCTGCGCAGGCCCTTTCCCCGTGGGCAGTCCGTGCTCTCCGAGCCATCGCCCGGCGCTAGCGAGGCTGGGGCTCCGTCCCAGCCCAGCCCAGCCCGTGCGGCAGCGGGGCGGTGCTCGCTTCCCCCGGGACAGCCCCACGGCAGTCCCCGGGCGCACCGCGGCTCTGCCCGGCCGGGGCAAGGCAGCGGCTCCGCTCCGTCCCCGCCAGCAGCCGCCGAGCAGCGGCCCGGCCTGGCCTGGGCTGCCCCGAGAGCCGCGTCTCGCCCTCCCCGCCGCCGACAGCCGGGCCCCGGGACCACTCCGGGGCGCCGCTCCCGGCCCCAGCCGGGTCCGCACGCCCCTCGGCGGGGTTGGCGGCGGCCGGGCCGCCCACCAGAGCCTGGCCCCCTTGGCCCCCTACCCCTTGGCCCCACCGCCGGCCCTACCTTCCTCTCCCCGCGGCCGCCGCCGGCCCCGCTCCGCCCGCGGGCAGCGCCAGCCCCGTCCTGACGTCACCCGCGCCGCCCGGCCCGGAGCCCGCCCGGAGCCGCCGCCGAGAGCCCGCGGGGGGAGCGCCCGGCGCGGCTCGGACCCGCCGGGAAGGAGCGGCTGTGGCGGAACAGCGACCCCGTTCCCCTTAATGCCTGTCCCCGGCACGACACGCGCTTTCCCGGCGCGTTAAACACATCGCCTCCTGCCCGGGCCGGCGGCTGGCACGGTGCCGGCCTCACGGCACTTAGGAGATCAGGCTTCTTTTCTTCGGCAGTTTCTGATCTCACGCCCTGGAACCACAACAGGGAGTAGCAGGCGCTTTGTTCAGGCAGACACGCAAGTACTGGAGGCCGGGAAGGGCAGGTTGCTCGGTGACCTCTTACATAAGGCAGCCGGGAGCCGCAGCTGGGCCGTGCTCGCCTGACAGCTCTGGGATCTCGGGGGGCCGGGGCTGGCTCACCCCGCTCTGCCGGCACTCACCGGCCAGCTCCGTCATTCAGATCGTGTTTCCGTCTCTAGCAAAAAATGGATGACATAGTTACTTTGGAAATAAGAATAACCTCTTAGGGAGATGTAATATTTCCCCTGATTGATGTAATTTCCTATTAGAACTTTTCCCAGGCTCATTCTGGCAGCATAGGAGGAGGGAATACCACTATTATAAAAACCATAAGTAAAAAGAAAAAAGAAACATTAATTTGTTTGCTTCAATCAATTTTTTTAAGATGAGATAATACAGAAATTATATTCATCATAGTTACAATTTGACTTAATCTGTCAACAAGCTCCTCAACTTCCTCCTACCCATCTGTTACCTCCTCTTGAGCACAACATCAGTTCTAACTAGAAATTACATAGAAAGCTTGTGACCGTGTACTTCAAGGCTGTAGTGCCGCCTTTGCTTTCATGTATCTCTGAAGGACCAGAAAAGTGGTGTAGGCAGAACAGAAGGGATAAAAAGCGATCATCTATCTGTGAACAGAACAGGTTTCAGAAACCACCAGTAAATGAGATTTGTGTAGGTCAAATTCTATTTATGTACTAGGCTAAAACTGTCACTTTCATTGCTGGAAAAGTGTTTTCAGAATTGGAGCTATTAGGTTGGTGGTAGAAGGCAAGACAACCTTTACACCGGGGGAGGGAGCAGTTTTCTTCTGGAATGAAAAATACTCCTCTTGAGAATTTGGGAATCCAGCAGATCTTACCCTAGGTGAACAGTCATTAGCTGACTTTTTGGCACATGTTAAAAGCATTGGCTGTTTGGGTTCATATAAAACTTTAGTTTTCATATTACGTTTAAAACCATTTTAAACTTCATCAAGCAACTGTCAGGTGTTTCCTGAATGAATTATCTCCACGGGTGCAGAGCATCAAGCTTTTGTTTTGTAGCTGTCTGGGACCATGTCCTGTACTGTACCCACCCTGGAAAGCTGGTCAGAGCTGTGAACCCACAGGAAATGCCACACAAATCCCACCTGAGGGTGCAGGAGAGAGGCACAGATCCTGCAAAGATCAGATCTTCAGTCTGCCAGAAACTCAAGCATGTGCTGGAAACCCGTGCAAGCATCTCTTAGGCTTACCATTCTGAGATCTTTTGAATTAAACATTTTGGGCTCCTCATTTGCTGAGAAAACTTTGATCGGTGAGTTTCTAATTATGTGTGCTGCAGAGCTGAAGGCCTGAGTATTAATACCCTGAGCAAAAGAACTAGAATATTTAGGTGAATACTATTACAACTGGGGATTTCTTTTCAAGTCATTTGCCAGTGAAGTGTGAAAGTGAAGGCTTTTGTTCAAATGTTCAGGCTGTTCATAATTGCACTGTCAGTCTGGTAACTTCCAAAGCATGATGTAAGATTCATCACTCACTAATAATTTTGAAAAAACGTTTGGAATGTTAAAGACTTACCAAACCCTGTTTTTTTTACTCCCATTCTTGTCCTTCAAGGCTGAAGTTCAGCTTCCCTCGTAATCGTAGTTACAACATATTGGTTAAAACTGAATTGGCAAATTACATTTCTGAACACCTAAGAAATTGCTATTTGGAAAAATGTATTTGTAAAAATTGAGCCATATGTGACTTCTAATACTTTGTCATTTTGCAGCTGACATAATACATCTCTTCAATACATGCTAAATTTTGATTGCCACCAACGTAAACATTTGAATTCTCACAGTTATTTGAGGGTCTTCAGCTGAAATTTAAATTTCAAATTTCATACTTTGATTCATAAAATCTAATTATACTCTAAACCAAGCACAATATACATTTGCATGAAGAAAAATAATTTCAAACAAAATACATGCTAGAATTATTAAATATTATAATTAATGCTATTAATATTACTACAGCTCATACATACTCAATCAGGCAAAAAAAAATAATTCAGAATCAGTATTGCTTACAAATGAATAAAATGAAAAGTAGTAAAATCAAGAAAATTATTATTTGACCAAAGAGCCCTGCTTGCAATGGAAAGATCAGGAGTGCTGCTGGAGAACACCTGAATAAGGAATTCAAAGAACTAGGACTCCAAATGGGTAATATGGTTATTATTTATTAGTGTTTCAAAGCTTAAATATGAAGATTATGGGCAACTTGAATGTAGTTAGGCACTAGGTGAAAATAGCAGAACAGAAGATGGGTCCAGAAATAAAGCTAGCTTGATTAACTGTTTGGGAAACTAAGCCAGGTTGCAGTAGTTTGTACATAGCCTATAAAGTTTTCCTGATGAAAGGGAGATGGAAAAGAACATATTTCTGTTTTTCCAGAAGGTTGTATTGTCTTAGCCATGTGTATAACAGTCCTGAGCAGAAAGGTAAATCACAGACTTGGAAAAAATCTTTCTGCAGGATGCCTTAACACACTTCCGTGTCTCCAGTGGAAAAGACTCTAGGCTTTCAGTTCCTGCCATTTCTATGGGTAATTCACCTGCACCAGTGATTAAAATTCCTCGGCAGATTTTACCTGCAAAAACTACCCTGTGGGATCAGTTTGTGTTGTGCTGTCACATGAGAGGAGTGTCCCCAGCTGAAGGGGTTCCTGTGATGTCTTGTGGAGGTCCTGGCCAGGGTGCAGAGCGCAGCTTTCCCTCCTGAGAACTACAGACAGGTCTCCTAGCAGGGCTGTTGTCTTACATGGGAGGAGCTGAAGTGAAGAGCACAGATTTTTAAATTGCTTTAAGTTTCGTTCTGCTCAGATCTGCAAAATATAATGTACCCATGTAGGAAAACATAACACAGAACTGGCAAGCACAGCACGTGTATAATGCATGTGGGATGGGCAGTGTGCTTGCAGGCTGCACAAGTGCTCTGCTCCAGGTGAACCAGTGCTCAGACCCCAGCACCACAGACTGGAGCACATGCTAATAATCTGGGCACTGTGATGCCTTAGGATTTTAGCTTTTATATTTTTCATAGATTTGTAATACTGCAATTCTTTCGTGTGTAACTCCAAACTCCACACACAGTGTGAGCTGCTGCTTTCCCATTTTGCTCAGACACAGCAATTCCTCTCCAGGCCTGGCAATCAAGGACACCTCACTGCCTCAGGCCTGAGAGATGGAAACAAAAGTGAGTTGGGGGAGCAAACTTGGGGTAAATGACTTCATTACCTGAAGCTGTAAGATTACCTGATTGGAAGATTAAGCCAAATGGACAAAACTTTTATAAAAGTGTGAAAACCCATGACCCATCATCCATTTTTGGTTGCAGCCCCTGGGGGCTTTGTCTGCCCTAAATGTACCTGAAGGCCCTTCAATAAATAGAACTGCTTTTTATTCCCTTGATTTTGTCTGGCCTCTGTTTTTAGGTATTCCCAACAAGGCATCAACTGGAGTATCTCTCTTATATGGAAAGGCTGAGGAAGTTGGGTCTGTTCAGCCTCAAGAAGAGACCCCCTGAGAGAGGATCTCATAATTGTGTATTTGAAGGGGGGTGCCAAGAAGATGGAACCAGGCTCTTCTCAGTAGTGCCAAGTAATAGGACAAGAGGCAATGGGCAGAAAATGATGCACAGGAAGTTCCACCTGAACATGAGGAAGAACTTTCTTCCTGTGCAGTGCTGGCTCACTGGAACAGATTGCCCAGAGCTGGTGCAGAGTCTCCCTCCCTGGGGATAATCCAGACCCCTCTGGACACAATCCTGTGCCACGTGCTCTGGGATGGCCCTGCCTGAGCAGGGATCACGGAGGCACACAGTGGCTGCAGGCACACAGGAAGAGCTGTACCTCTTGCCTTCCCAACTGTCATTAACCCTAAGAACTGGATTTTGCTAAAGGTGATGTGACAACAGGTGTTCACAAAACTGAGGAACAGTTTCAGAGCAATTCCATAACTCAAATGCCCTAGGAAAATTGTATTTTCTGAGAAAAATCTGTGAGCTAAGGTTTGTGAAGGATTAGCTCTGATACTGACAGCAAGGGTGAGAGACTTGCCTGGGTGCATGAGAAGTCTGTGACAAAGGTAGAGGATGATCCTCCTTGACCTCTAACTGAAACCATGCTTGCTCTCCTTTGCCTCCTCCTGGCCTGTGGTTTGTGGAGCACTCCAGACACCTCATTTCTGCAGTGAAGGGATTTCTTCAGACACTTAGTACAGAGGAAACAGCACAGAGAGGTACGTTCAAACAAGAGGCAGCTGCAGCTTCCTGGTGGCCAGTGTAGCTCTCTGGAAGCAGATTACAGAGTACACTGAGAACGACAGACAAACAAAAAGACCAGCCAAAAGCCGAGGAACTTTCTGGGTGAGACTCTGGGATTTCATTGTCAGCTTCCATTGTTCAGATCTGATTAAAAACAAACTGGCAGGAGAAAGACCACATGCTTATCAGACATGCCTGCAGGTCACGCCACTAGAAAGCCATTTCACTGTCACTGATGTGGCCTGTTTGGCAGGAACAGAGGTTTGGATCTCACTTTTATTTGCAGCAGTTTTGAAAGGCGTGGGATTATCAAGGATGGGTTAGATCCTTTGCAACTTGCAGAAAAGTTCCTG